AACTTGTCTGCCGGGAGAATGGTAAGTGATGCTCGGACAGCTGCCTCCTCTACCCACACAGGTACCAGGCTGTGTAGGGGTGAAGGAGGGACTTTCCTGAGCATGCTCCCTCTATCAGGATCTTGTGCTCAGCTCCCTTATGTAAGGAGCCAGATTTGAACGTGTCTTGTCTTTGGTTTTGTTTTCTTGAGACAAAAATCAATTGACTGTTGGCGTGGATTGAGCGTGATTCCCATGGAATTGCCGTCTTAAGAGAGCAGACAACCTGAACTGTCAGAGGGATGACAGGTGTCAAGGCTGGATGCTGGGAATATCCCTGACCTAGTCTTCCTGTCACTGTGAACATCATACTCCAGTTGCAGGCCTGTCGGGCAGAAGGGTACTCAGATTGCCCATTACCCTATGAGTAGCCTGGGACCTGAGAGCTGACCTGCCTTCCTTCTGGGCCACCCCAGGCTTCAGGCGGGGGCCCCATGTAGGCAGCACTTCTGTCTCTGCCAATGCAGTTCCCTGGCTCCATAGGTCTCAGCGGCCATCACACATGGGTGACACAGAAGTGCCACTCACAATATTCCAAAGCTCTGACTGAAGGGGGACAGGAGCTCAGACTCACCTAGGGATTTAGCAGGACGATGTAGACACTGAGAAAGGCTGAGATGGGCTGAGAGCTTTGGGAGGTAGACTCTGCACCATTTGGCATGGGTTTGAAGTGAGCTGGTAGGGGGCACAACGAGTCGGCACCGAGCCCACAGTGGTGAGAGGGAGGCAGGGAGGCAGTGTTGGCATGGGTCAGAACAGGGCGGGGTGGGGTACCCTGCGAACCTTTAGTAGAAATAACCCAGGAGGCAGTGTCAGGAGAGGAGCGTGAGACTGGACTTCAGAATACTCTATGACCTGGAAGACCGCAACCCGCGGCCAACCAGCAGTAGCACTGAAGACCTGGGAGAGTCCAAAGGAACCAGACAAGGTGTGGCAGCCCCCAAAGCTGTCCTTCTGTATCCCTAGCAGTGGCTTCAGCCTCTTCTTGCAGTTACTGCTCTTAGCACTTGGGTAGTTTCTTCTGGCTCAAGGAATTCTATAGTTACACTTTCTTTTTCTTTTTTTAAACTATATCTTTTAATTGCAGAAGTGATCACACGCTTATTGTAAGAAGCTGAACAAAACAGAGATGTGAGAACCCTCAGACCAGTCCTTCCGAAACATCTACCCCTACCATGTACACACCATGCACGTATAAGGGCTTGCACGCACACACAGGTTCGAGTTTGGTTTTGTATTGAACAAAACTGGGAGACTAACCTATTACTCATTTTTTTCCACATAAGAAGTCATGAGTTTGTATTTTATTCACTTATTAATTGCTACTTAATGATACTTAGTTTGGTTACGCCATTTTTTTTTATCTAAATGTTCTCAAGATCATGTTCTATTATGTCTTTCCTTTTGACTTGATTTTCAATCGGTTCCCATGCCATTAAAGGCTCTTTGTAATCATAATTTCATTGGCTGCATCATATCCCAGAATATGAGGGAAATCATCATTTACCAATTTGCTTTCTGCCAGTGGAGGCTTTAAAAATAATAGTACAATGAGCATAGCACAGCATCCAGCTGTGTCTTCCTCTCTGGCTATTCTTTCTCTTAAGGATGTGAATACTTTTAGAGTCATTGTCCAGGCTACCAAATTGTTTTTTCCAGAAAAGCCAGCAGTCTGTTCCCACCAGCCATAACCATTAAAGGCTCCCCTTTCTTTTCCTGCTAACAGTTAGACAGGAGTGGCACGTTGCCACTCAGCTTGCATTTTATGTTCTTATGAGGTTGGTTTAATCATCTCTGTAATTCTTGTCGTCAGAGCCATCCAAGCGCATGCACCCCTCACTCTTGGTCTCTCATCAACCCTTTCTCCCTCATTCCCAGCCCAGCCCTGAGCCCTCCCACTCCAGCGTTGGCTCCAGAATGCCCCCCCATTCCTGCATCCCTTGGGTTAACTCACCAGCATCCCCCATCTCTCTAAAGCCCTACACTAACTGAGCTCTCCTGGCTTCTGTGCCCAGGGAGCTTCCCTTGTTCTGTACCAGAGAATAGAGCAACCGAGTCTGAGCCTAGAATTTTGTTGGGAGCTGCCATCTGGCTGGGATTAGTGTTGACGGGCAGCAGATGCAAAAGGGGCCTCTTTGCTCTGACCTCGGTCCAGGAGGAGTGGAAGTGGGGTCTCCTGTGCCCTACCTGCTGGTCTTCCCACAACCCCTCTCATCTTTTCCTCTTCCATTTTCCTCCTCTCCTCGTTATTCTAGCCCAGGTTTTAATTTTCACAAATGATACAATTTGGGCGCTTGGAATTTCTGCAGGAGAATGCCTGTGATCCTGCGAGCCCTGGGGCCTGTTTGCCATTGTTGGAGAAGAGGGACCCTGGACGCTCTGCAGGCCCCATCTGACTGTGGTAATAGGCAGGGCTAGTGGGCTACGGCCTCAAGCCAGTCCTTCGTCGTGAGACTTCGCAGAAATCCCGCTGGAGCTTTCTCTGCTCTTGCCCTGTCTTCTTTCTTTCATAATGATGAATGGCTGAAAAGAAAACTATCTAATCTCCAAACTGCTGGCTTTTCTCCCCTTCTCTTTTCTTCAAGGAGAGGAAGAAGAACACGGACACATAAAACAGAGTCCTTCATCGCCCGCTCCTCAGGAGACGCGCGTTCCCTTTTCATCCCGGGGCCTGTTTCTGATCTGCGATGGCCTCGCATTGAAAGTTCCAGGCTGGCCCTCTCTAATCGGCTGCGACAGACGCTGCAGTTGCGTGGGCTGCCCATTGAAATTGAATTGATTACCCGGCCCCTCTGCCATTTTGTTCTGCGCACGATTGCTTAATAGCTGTCACCTTGGCTTTCAGTCCCAGCCGGCTTGGGGCTGACTGGTTCCCATTACTCAGGATGGCCAGTGCAAGTTCACCACCCTTTACAGGATGACTCTGATTGATTCCGTATGCCTTGGAGACCTGGGAGAGATTTGCATAGGGGTTGCTGGGGGGGGGGGGAGGAATCGAAACCTCTGGGCCACAGAGGCTGCCAGGTTTTTGCTGTGGGGCTCACCATATTTGAATCATTACCTGAATGAGTCTGGCCTCTGCTGACATAACTGCTAATGAATTTGTAAATTTTGCAAAACTAGAAAACTTAGCCTGTTCGAACATTGGCTGTCACCACCTGCCCACCCCCTCCCTCCACCATTGGGGACCGCAAAGCAGACACGGTGTGCTTTTCTGGCCTGAGCTCTGCGCAGGTCTCTGAAATGACGGTCTCTCCCTCCCTGCCGCCCCTGCCCCAGCAGGCAGGAGAGCCCGACTTGGAGGGAGCCGTCTTTCAAGTAAAATCCTTTGCACTGGGAACTACTTCAATTAGACAGCAGGCGGAATGTTAACGTGCCCTCCGGCCTTTTAAGTGGGTTTTAATTTTATGTTGTAAGATAAGGCACTGCAGGGCCAGGCTGTTTCTCTTCTTACAGGCTCCATTAGAGGGGCCAGCAGAGGCCTCTTGACCCCCCGAGGCCCTGCCAAAGCTAGAAATCGCTTTGGTTTTTTAACAATTTGTCAGTCTGGCCCAGCTTCTCTTTTGTGATTCCAGGATCTGCTGTCCCTGAGGGTAGTCGGTGGCTGATCTTCCAGGCTGAGAGACCTCTAGCCCTTGGCTGGAGGGGAACCTAGGGGGCCACCCAATCATAGCACCCGTAGCTGAGTGATAATCAGCTATTTTTCCTTCCCGAGCAGGGCGCAGTAGAAGCAGGCCGTGTCATGTGGCAGGCTTCTGGGCCGATGATGTATGACCTGCTGGCGCTACTGAATGGTGCCCTTTGTTCTACAAGATCCCATGTGCCCCCTTTTTATTGAGTTGTTGATTCAGAGGGGCAGGAAAAGTTCCACAAATCCCACTGCAGGCCCTGCTCTTGCTATGCCCAGGTGGGGCAGCCAGGGAAACTCAGGCTTCCCAGAAAGTCAGGACTCTGTGGGCTGCCTCAAGGTCGAATACCTCTTTGGGAACAACTTTCTCTTAGCTAAATAGGCACTTGAGAGAACCTAGGGACATACTCCCAGCCCTCCAGTTCCAGGTGGAGTGTCCTGGACTGGGTACCATCTTTGGACAGAAATGAGCAGGACACTTGGGAGTTAAGAGCCGCCTTCCCTGTACCTGAGCTAAATCAAGGTTTTCTCTGTAACTAAGTCCTAGTGGGCACCAGCAGGTATGGGAGTAGGAAGCTGCCCAGCCAGAGGGCCCTTGTACAGCCACAAGGAATCTTAGTCGTGATGAAGAGGCTTTAAAGCCTCCCAATTCTTGCGTCTTTCTCCTGGGTTTCAAGACAAGTGGAGACCAAGGAGATGGAGAAACACCTTAGGGGATGGACGAGGCATGAGGGCCGTGTGCAGGGAACTGGTCCATTCCCAGCAGCACCTTTCTGGAACCACTTTTCCTAACGAGGGAAGCCCAGGTTGGATTTCATCTGCCTGAAACTGTCCAGCTTGAGGCCAGGGTCTCACTTCAGGCCCACTAGGGTGAAGCTGGCTGACAACTCACACAGCCAGCTGCTCCAGACAGCCCAGACTCTGCCTCCAACCTGCTCTGTAGTTATATTCCAAAGTAACTGCACAAATGCCACCGAGGATTCTCTACTCTTGAGACTACTTCCCCCCGCTTGCAGGGTTGTGTTAACTGTTAAGGGATGAGATTCCTGTTGCCTGTCTACTCTCTCGTTGGGTCTTTGTGAGGCCTGGGACACAGTCCCATAACCTAGGGAGTAACATAAGATAGAAGGGACTTGGAACTTACTTCATTCTGAGGGTCCATGCTAGATACAAACGCTTAGATGAGAGGCACTGAGGGCCCCACCAGACACTTGAAGAAAAAAGGAGAGGCAGACACCACCACCAAGCAATGGCAAGACATTAATAAAGGACACACACACTTCACAGTTGTAAGATGGCTTTTATGTCTCAATATGCAAAATAAAATGTCCATGCTATATACCAAAACACCTGGAAGTTTCATACCACCAGTCAGCTAATGTGTTTTCTAATAAAGCTTTATCTGTAGTGTGTGCATTTATAATATATATATATGTTATATCTAAACCATTCTTAGATAACATCAAATGTAATAAAAATTTAAATAGATGTCTTTCCAAATACTCCCTCCAGCATTCATTTTCAGTCAGTTTAGTTGTAAAAAGCAAAGCTGAATTTGACATGTGGCCCGCATTTGTGAGATAGAGATATATTTATTTATATATTTATTTATATAATATATAAATAGCTATTCAGCATGCAAAGAGTTTAGTGATTTCCAGGTTCTGCTTTCGCGTTCACTCCAGCCACCCTGACACTCTGGTGACATTGGATGCTGATGGACTGAGTGCGAGCTCTCCTCATTCCCCACTCTGGAAGAATCATCTGCTCCTCTGAGCAGGACCGCTGAAGTGCTCTCCTTCTGCCAGCTTCCTTGCTCTGGGGATGTGGATTTTCCTGGGCGCCGAATGGGTCCAGCAGATGTGGAACATCAGTTAGGGATGTTGCCAGGTAAGGTGTGACTGGCTGCCCATCACAGGCTGCAGCTGGTATCTGACAGGCTGAGAGGCCACATGCTGGGGCTGGGGAAGGGGCTCTGACCTTCATGATGATGACAGAGATAAAATGGTGGCATTTCCCCCCCCTCCCCCTTGAAGGAAAAGCAAGCACTGATTCTTTCTGCAAGTCACGCCTCAGACCCTGGAGCTTCAAGAATCCAAGCCCAGGCTGATGGATGGCCAGCTCCACCCTCACAGTACTCCAAGGCTCAGGTAGTCTCAGACAATCTCCAGAAGCCAAAGGAGTGGGGTACTCCTGTCTCTAAGAGTGCCGGCCGGCTCCCCTTACAGGTGGAGGGCCGAGAACCCTAAGCAAGCACAGATACCCCCAATCCCAGCCAAGAAAGGCCCTCTGTGTGCCAGAGACCTCAGCTGGCCCCTGAGTAAAATCAGAGTATATTTCAAAAACTTCTAGATAACTCGTGAGCCCTCCACTTTCATCCCACCCAGGGCATGTCAAGAGATGCCAGCTAACAATGCACTTGGCTCCTGAAGTCTAAATTACTTCCTAGACAGTTGTATTTTTTTTTCTTGTCTTGGCCTTAGCTGCATGTCAGAAGACAGATGCTCTCCAGCCACACACATGCATGTAGAAACACAAGCACACACACATGCATGTAGAAACACAAGCATGCACACACACACACACACACACACACACACACACACACACACCCCTTCTGGAATACCTTCCCATGTTTCTTGGCAGTGCCAGCCACCCACAGAGGTTAATTCTGGATTGACACGGTCCTGGGGTTATCAAGGATACAGCAGTCACGTCATCCATCAGTCCAGTTCTCCACAGTCCCCACTCCTGAATGGTACTGTAAGGATGATTCTCGGGTCAAGGAGAAACTCTGGGAGTAGAGGAACTCATTGGCAGTGTTCAGGTGTGGGGAGGGCGGCTTCCTCTCGCACACTGTGGGGAGGCCACGCTCTCTAGGGAAGGAAGCGGAGGGCCCCCGCTCTCGGGCCTGAGACTGGGGCAGCTGATTGTACACACTGAAGTGGGCATTTCCTGGTGGCTGGGCGCTCTGGGCCGAGATGGTGGGCAGCCGTGGCATCATCGTGGTGGTGGCAAAGTGTGCGGGAAAGGGCTGGTAAGGCACAGTCTCCATGGTCTGCACGCTGTAGCTGGTGTACGGCGAGACCGACGTCCACATGTTACAGCTCAGTGGGGGCGGGGGCAAGTCGTCCACAGCAGACACCCCCGCAATCTCGGGCCCTGAACTCGAGTACATACAGGCCTCTCTGGGGGTCACCTCACTGCAATAGGAAGGGCTCAGCATCTGCTGGTCGTAGGGAGGGGGAGAACGGAAGTAGTGATCATCCCCCACCGAAGAGGGGGTTTCCAGATAGGATCGCTTGCAGGGTAAGTCCAGGTGGCGGGCACTATCTGCTGGAAGACAAAGAAGTGCTCAGGAAGGAGTGTTCCCAGCGGCCCAGGGCCTGGTGCACTCGCCCACCCCATGTGCCAGAACAGCCTGCCCTTTCCTCTCAGCACCCATCTTGGCCCCATGCTGCCTGGTACTCCCAGAACCGTTTGAATCAGCCGCAGCTTTTATAAGGTGGCAATGGCCAAGAAGTGCTCAGATTATGGACCCTCATCAAAGACCACGGGGGACACCACATCACTGGACACTGAGGAACGCACTGCATCAGGCAACACCAAGCTTTGCCAGCCCGACTCTCGCGGTGCTCAGAGGCCCTTCCGCACACTGGCATTCTCGGGCTAGCCCCGCCTTGGCCCAGGAGAGTGAAGGCAACTGCCAGGACGAAGCAGGCCCAGAGACCACATCTGTCAGACCTAGCCAGCAAATTAAGGCCATGATGTTACTGCGGAGAGCCTCGGGAAGGAGGCGGTGGGCCAAAAAGGCTTGTAGGCAAGCGTTTGCTGTCTGGAGGTGGGATGAGCAGTTTAACCCTGCTGTGTTCAAAAGGAAGGCATATCTGCGGTTGTCCTGCCGATCCCAACCCAGCCGCCTCTACAGAGCAGCTGCACTAGCGGCAAGGGAAAAGACTGACTGTTCAGGCTACTTTGAGACCCTCTGGAATGACGCCAGCAGCCACCACAAACCACATCGCTGCATCTTCCAACACTACCGCCCTCCGACTCCCACCCTGGCCCCGACTGTGTGGGATCAACCCTCTGGAGTAACATGTCTGCCCCTGGGACCCAGGGGTTACTGAGGCCTGAGGGCTGGGGCAGCCCCCCTCTCAACAAACTCAAGAACACTTCCCCTCTGTGGCTGATCTTGGCTTCCCTCCTGCGCTTTCTTCTCTAGGGATCCGTGTTCACAGGGCTGGGCAGCCTGGAGGAAGAGGGGTGGACCTCCTAGCCCAGCTGTAGACTGACTGATTCCTGGCTGCCCAGACATATGTAGGCCTCTTTCCCCACCTCTTCCCGTGATTGGCAGGTGGCCCAGTTACTCTGGAAGGAGCAAAGGGCCAGACAGGTAGCATAGACTTGAAGGCCATCAGTATGTGCCACAGCTACTCAGTTTGGTTGCTGACCTATGAAAGCAGCTATAGACCATATATGGGATAGATGAGCTCCAGCAGAGCTTTATTTATGAAATTTGACTACTATAGAATAACATGAAAAGCCCACCTTTTTAAAATAAAGAGGCAGCATCAGGTCTAACGACCATTCCTCTGACCTCCAGGGGACTTGCATCTAGGACACTTGGCACTCTGCCAGGCTCATCTCTAGAAGTGAGCTGACAGAATGTTCTGGATTAAAGCAAGACTTGCTCCCAACAGAATTTTGGAGACCTAAGAAGATCTCTTGGCAAGGTAACATTAGTCGCGCTTGAATCTGTCTGTGGAAAACAGAATAGGCAGCAAAGCCTAGACATGCTGGTTTTGGGGCCAGTGTTAGAAAAAAGCCAAGTGCCCAGTCACTCATTTCAGCTCCAAAGAAACCAGTGGGCATCCTTAAGGGCTCAGTGAAGAGCATCAGACCCAGCATTGTGGGTCCTCCCTGCTTTGCGGCTGAGACTGCCAACAATCTAGCTTCCCACTTCCTTATAGGCAGAGCTGAGCATGAGGAACCCCATCCCAGGCAGAGGCAGGTGGATCTCTGTGAGTTCGAGGCCAGCCTGGTCCACAAGAGCTAGTTCCAGGACAGGCTCCAAAACAACAGAGAAACCCTTGTCTGAAAAACAAAAACAAAAACAAAAACCAACCAAACAAACAAAAAAGAACTGTCTGAGGATTCCCAAGGTCACATAAAAGTGAGAACCAACAGGCCTGCACGGCGTCCAGCCTTCAGGCAGTTCCCAGATCCCTACCTCTGCGCTTCAGGCAGTGGTAGAAGAGGCTGGAGTCCCTCTGCGTTGGGAAGGTGTTGAGGGGCAGGTCCTGGGGCTCTGCAGCAGCGAACTGCATGTGCGCCCCGTTCTCAAACTGGTAGTGCTGCAGTGCCTGGTGCGCGCTGTGCAGGGGGCTGACGTCGGGCTTAGCTGAGAGCTGGCTGGAGACGAGCCTCTGCCTCATGATGCTTTTGGAGATCACCGGATACTCCTTGCTGGAGGAGCAGGGAGAGAATGAAGATGCTTTAGGGTTCCTGGGTCTTCCCGTCCCACCCCTGGCCAGGGCAGCCCCCACCTCTGCAACCGGGCCACACGCAGGTCGCTGTCGTCACTGCCCCGGAATCCCTTGGCAAAAGGGTTGTTTTCAATTTTCAGCTGTGTGATCTGTCGGAAAAGGACACACAGAGTGGCTGGGAGGAGAAAGGACAGGCTGGCTTAGTAGCCCTCCTCCCCCAGCCCAGGCCTAATGAGAACCTAGGTATGGCCTGGAGAAGCTGAACCCCAGCCCTGAGCCAGCGTGCTGTCCAGGACCAACTGGGTCATCCTTGACCTGGCTGCTCGTAAGAGCTTATCCCAGGTTGTCTGCTCTGTTTGCTTCAGCCCTTCTGGTGCTTTCTTTTGACCCCTGCATGTGTCAATCCCCTTAACGATTCTGTGTGACTGGAAATCTGACTTGGCCACACTTCTAAAACCCACTGCAGCCTATGACCAAGGGTAAGGGAGGAGGTGGTGACTGGCACATGCCAGCCATCTAGCTGACAGGACCCAGGTTCCTCTCCCTGCCAGCCCAAACTATCTCTACAAGAAGATTCTAAAAGGAAAGAACCCGACCCTCACACCCCAAGGCCGACTCCATGCCTCTCGTTTTCAGCTACTGGCCTCGCTCCGCCTTCTCCAGGACTCCTTGGTTTAAAACCTGGCTGTTTCCCAGTATGGCGATCTCGCTATCTGAACTATTCTGCTTTTCTATTCATTACTTGATGTGCCCTGGGGTCGGCAGAGCCTCACTTCACCTCAGGAAGAAGGCAGGTTGGGTGGGGTTTCAGTGTGGGTTGGGGTTACCATACCTTGTGGTTCTGGTAGGAGGTCACGGAGATGAAGGATGTCTCTGGGAACACGTGGGTGCAAAAGGCTGTGTTTTTGGAGCCAAAAGCATTGTTCTCATCGGCCTTAACGATGTGCAGCCGTGGCTGGTACTTATGCATGGAGTTGAGGATGATCTGTGAGAGAAGGTCTTGATTTGAGCCCCAGGCCCCACCCCCTGGGCCCTGGCTGGCCACTTCCTGAGAGCCTAGGACCCAGAACTGAACCCAGAAATGTCTCAAAGCTCCCAAATAAAGGAACTGGGGTCCCAACTCCACCCCCACAGCCTCACTTAGCCTCTCTGTTCTAGGGGCACCTTATCCCAGCTTTTGTAGAGTGGGACTCTTTTCACAGTGACAATCAAGAGCCTAGAGAAAGAAGAAGTCCGTACAGCTGAGTTAGCTAAGCTACAGGCAAAAGATCAGAGAGCTGACGACACACTGACCCTATGTCCCTCGCCTTCTCTGGAGCTCAACTGTGAGATCCTAGTACACAGCCTACCCCCTTCCCTCAACCTACAGGTGTCCTGCTTTTCCTGGGACTGCCCACTGTAAGGGCTCAGCCACCACCTCACACATCTGTCAACAACTGTGGTAAGGGTTTGCAGGACAGGAGAGACAGGAGAAGGGGAGGGAAATGTCCTGCTCTAGCTTGGGGCCCAATGCAAGTCTGGGGCTTGCTACCCTCCGAGCTGATCACTTCCTAGCATGAGTAACACTCATCAGTGACAAGCCAAGTTCCTGAACTGATGCCTGGGCCTGCAGGAGACCTCGAGCACCCAAGAGCAGCGGGCTTGGGGACAGAGGTCAGTCTAGCTGACTGAAGCGTAGGGAAGAGCCCAAGATGCTTGGTCACCAGAGCCCAGGCAGAAACACACAGTAGTTAACTGCCCCAACGTGCTTCATATGGCTGTGCCCTCACAGTAGCGGCTACATCAGGTGCCATTAAAATGCATTTTTTATCGTTGACATTTGCCAGACGCCCTCCCACTGGAGGCAGGACCAGGAATTTGGGGCATTTTATCAGCTCTGCTGCATCTGTTAACCCTTTGCTTTCTATCTCAGTTGCTGGCCCTCAGCTCCTCTTCCCCTCAAAATGCTTTCCTCTGCCTGGGGTGCCCCTTCCAGGCTAGGCTTGCCTCAGCCTCTGTGGAATGAAATATTTAACCCTTGGGTGGCCACGGTGCCAAGAGAAAAGGCCCAGTATTGGTTCTTTTCTGGGAAGCCTTGCTGAGTTCTGAGGCCCAGAAGGTTCCATGCTTGTCTTGCATCTGGAAGGCTGGCGTAGGCTAGTTGTGGGCTTCTGCCTGCCCTGGGCTCTGAAGTTCACTTGGGTGCTCTGGCCAGCCTTTCTGTCTTGTACAACAGCCATTACCCTCTTGAGGATAAAGGCAGAGCTCTCTGGTAGCGCAGGACACTGCCCAACTCAAAACAAGGCAGAAGAACACATCTTTCCTGCAGCCAGGAATGTCCTGATATGGCAGAGCTGGGCCTTAGGAAGCACCTCAAGACTTGTCACCCTGTACAAGTCACCAAGGCACGGGTACTCAGGGAGGACCTCTGTTCCTGGGGAGGCAGCCTGGGTGTGTCCCCACCTCAGCATGGTCCTTCCTGCTGCACTGGCATTCTTGCGCATCTAGGCCTGTCTTCTCTCCTTCTGCAAGGCCGGCCCTGTGTGGGACCTCCCATATCTGAAGCTTCTCACTCTGCCCTGCCTGTGCCATGTGGCTTTCTAATTCTTCTTAACTCTTCAAAACTACAAACTCACCCATGGCTGGAAATGGGGGCTCAGTTCCCACTACCACTAAAATAAACAAACTTTCCCGAAGAAAGGGTCCTATCTGTTGTTCTTTTGCAAGTCAGGATTCTTGGCTGAGTGAGCGCAGAGCCGGGCCAGGCCTCCAAACCTCTAGATTTTACTTTGCTCACCAGAGACAAGTTAATCTTGGCATTTTTTTTTTCCAGTCAGAATCTGAAAATGAGCAAGTATCCAATACAAACTTTCTATGGCCATTCACACGCTGCAGCTCCCCCAAACGCTGGATGGGTCCCAATCTCTCTGGTTCTCCTAGGCTGGCATCACCAAGGCAGACCAGACAGAACCCCAAACCACAGCCACTGTGTCCAGCTCTGCAGCCGCCACGATGTAACCAGGAGCACAGGCTCTTCCTTTTCCCTCCTCCCACGGCCACCACTTTAGCCCAGGACAGCGTTCCTGATGACTTGTGTTGAGAGACTGCCAAAGACACCTTCCAGGGAACAGAAACTGTGGGGCCTGCAGAGGCAGGTAGGAGCCCCTAGAGCATCCGTTCTCAAATGACCCTTTCACGGGGGTCACCTAAGAGCACTAGAAAACACAGCTTTACATCATGACTCCTAACAGTAGCCAAGTTAGTCACCAAGTAGCAACAAAAATAATGATACGGTTGCAGGGGAGGTCACCACAACATGAGGGGCTGAATGGAAGGGGCACAGCGTGAGGAAGATCGAGAGCCACTGCGTTAGAGGGAACAGCCTTGGCCGCAGAGAAGCCTCCCTGCTATGGCTCCACCAGCCCCCAGTCCTGAGCAAGCTCTTCCCCAGACACTAGGGTCCCCATCTGTTGAAGTACAGCTCTCAGCCAGGTGTTCTCAAACACCCTTCAAGCTCTTAATAGTCTGGAACCTGTCTGGAAGGACCCCATTCATCAAACCAGTGCACATGGAGATTTGGACCCCAGTACTGTGAGCCTGAGAGACTCTGAAAGAACTCACGCACCTGGCTCCAGTCAGGAGCTCCTCAGGTGCCGGGTTCCCTTGTAGAATGGTGCCAGGCCAAACGGGCTAGCCACATCAACCCCCCGACTGCACGGCTGGTCCCCCATCATCATCGCTGTTCTACAGAAATGGGATTCATTATGTTCTGGCCACAATTCAGAAGCCTGCTCTATTTTAACAATTACAATAGCGCCAGACATCCATCTCAAGGGCTTACCATGCGTGCTTTGCCACTGAGGTCTAGATTTAGCCCCACTGGAATCCAAGAACTTGAGAGCCCTAGAAAGGCAGAGTGCAGAGGGGGCTCTGACCCAACCCCCTGGACTTACAACGAGGAACAGAAGGCCTGGAGTGGGAACATGACTCTCCCAAGGACACACAGCTGGATGAAGACAGGCGACCCAGCAGATTCCAGATGGCCTTGGAAAAAGTACACCCTGCTCTCGATAAACCTCACGACTAATAAGAAGGTGTCTGCTAGACACTGTAAGGACCATGGACCCCAAAGCATCTGCTCAGATACCAGCCACACAACGGCAGGCTGACGTACATTCTGTTACATTTAAAACTGGATTTACCCAGCATCGTGCTCTTGCTAAGATCACTTCCTCCACCCTGCCCAGGTTAGGACATGGATAGGATCTGCAGGAGAGTGGATGTAGCGGCTTATACCTGCGATGCCAGGACTTGGGAGGCTGAGATGGAAGAGGGACCCCAAGAGATCCATGCCAACCTCGGCTGTGGAATGAGGTATTTGTCAAAAAAAGAAAGGGAAGAGAAATATTAAGGTGGAAGTGGGAAAACAAGGGCTCAGGCAAAGACCTTCGGCTCACGTGAGAAGCCTTGAGCTCGCTCCCAGGACAGCAACCTGGGTTCTCACACACAGCCAGGAACCTTTTTACCTCTTCCCACAGCCACAGCCATCAGTAAGGGGTCAGGAGAGCGCAGCCTTCACGCCAGGCCCTGGCGAGGTGTCTTACATACCTCGTAATTAATCTTAACAACATCTTATTACAAAGTCAACATTGCCACCCTCATTTTAATAGACCATGGAGAGAGCGTCAGAAGACACCTGGACATCAGTCAGCAAGCAGAGGCAGAGGCAGAAGCAGCATTAACTCCTGAGCTGCACTTCGGTTTACCTACTGTGTAGGGATGGCCTGACAGGTCCTCAGGTCTCTGTAGCTCCCAAGGCACTGGTGGGGTCTTGGCACACTATCAGTCAGGAAATGGGGGTGACAAAGAGGGAAAGGAGACATAGATCTATGGGGGACAGCAGCCCCCTGGCCCAGGAAAGGCCACCTGTCTGAACAGCACCCCATTGTGTGGGCTCATGACTCATATGCTGTCTGCCAGTGCCCACTGGCTTTCCGGGCATCCAGACACAATGTGAGACATAACATCACCGAGAATCCAGTGGTGAGAACATACGGTGCATTTATGGCGGTGACACCCGAGATGAGACCCCGCAGGAATGTGCAGAGCCTTAGGGAGGGCACCTGAATGCACTCCGAATGACAAGGAGATGACTCCAGTCAAGAAGAGGGCATTCCTCGCAATCCTCCCAAAGCCAATTTACAATCTAAAGGAATTACTGTAGAAACGCAAGTTTCCTTTTCAGCTCCGCATGCTGATCCTACAGTTCATACGAAACACACACACACACAACTCGCCAAGAAGGAAAAAAAAATGTAGAGCCAAGGGAACAAGCCCTGCCAAACTCTAAATGTATCAAGAAGTCTCAGCAGTTAAAGCGACTGGCACATGAATAAACAAATTCACATGGGGACCCAGAGTGCAGAAGAAGGGAAAGAGGAGCCTCCCTTACTGATGATGGAACAGCCAGGTAGCTCTCTCAAAAGACAGAAAAATCAGGATTGACACCTCCATCAGATGCTAGCATAGTTCTAAAGGGTTCCTATTTTGTACTTAAAAATAAATCCAGAGCCGGGCGGTGGTGGCGCACGCCTTTGATCCCAGCACTTGGGAGGCAGAGGCAGGCGGATCTCTGTGAGTTCGAGACCAGCCTGGTCTATAAGAGCTAGTTCCAGGACAGGCTCCAAAACCACAGAGAAACCCTGTCTCGAAAAAAAAAAAAAAATCTGCTGCCAAGCCTGACCATGTGAGTTTGATCATAGAGCTCACATGGTGGCTAGAACAGCTCCCCAAAGCACTCAGGAAGCTAAGGCAGAAGGATCATAAGTTTGAGGCCAAGCTGGGCTGCACAGAAAGATGCTAAAAAAGTACCAAAGGAAAGTTCCCTCATAAAGAAATGACTGAGGTCTTCCCAGAACCTATAAAGGAAGAAAGGATAAATTCAATCAAAAACTTCTGCCAGGGAAAACCACAACCACCGTGGGCCAGATCAAGTGACAAACTGGC